TTTTGGGGGGGGGGGGGGTGGGTTTTCCCTTTGGTTATCAAAGAAAAAGAACAATTTCTCAATTTGGAAGAAAACAACGGTTAAATTTTTCAAAAAAAAAAAAGGGGGGTTTCTTCCCCGGAAGGGGAAAAGGGCCCCCCCATTTTGGAGGGGGGAGTTTTGGGGGGCCCCGGGTGGTTCCCGCGAAAGGGGGGAGTTCCCTTCCAAGGGGGACCCCTCCAAAAGTTCCCAAGAAAAGGAAAAAGTTAAAATTTTAGGGGTTTTTTTCCCTTCCTCCAAAGGGGGAGGGGGTGATCCCCCCCCCCCCCCAAAGAAGAAAGGGGGGTTGGCCATTGGGGGACGATTCTGTTGGAAAAAATCTCCCTTGTTTTGGAGAAGCCAGGGGGGGAAAAGGTTTAAAAAAAAAAAGGAAGGGAAAAAAGGAGACCCCCCCCCCCCCCCCCCCCCCCGCGCTTCGGCTAACTCAAAGGTACCATCGGATCCTCGGGCTTGGCGCGTTTCGCTCGTTGATCGAGGCCGGCCGTCTCGATGTCGAGAAGTTTTTGGTCATGACCCCGGTCCGCCCGAGCGCAGACCCGATGTCCACGTTGAGGACGGCGAAGGACGTCCGAGAAGCCTTCGGCGGCTACGAAGACAGCCAGGTAGAAGGGTATGACAGCATATGCGCCCCGAAAATCTGGTACGGCCGCAGAACCATCGCCGTGTAACCCTTGGACGACATCCGAAAGAGAAGCTACTTTGCAGAGCTCCTTCTGGAGATCTGGAGAAAGATTCCTGGACGTACTCTTGGGACAGTCCCGCCATGCGCAGCCCTCGAAGGTCGTAGATCGCCCCAGAGCACACATCGCATTGTACGCGTGCGGCACCGCACGTGGTATCATATATGTATCACATGCGTTGTTCGTGGTTGGTGGGATATTTTTTTTTGTTTCTTCGACCGCGCTATGTAAATTTTGTCAGTCTCAGCGGCGGGCCGGACGAAACGAAAAGCACGTCTAGCGTGTGCAGTGTGCGGGTATTTTCTCCACGCGCGCGCCTGTGGAAGGTATTTTGTTTCGGGGTTTCGACCGCGCCAGCCGGCTGACCAATGACGATACGCCAGTCTTGTAGCGGGATAATAAACACGAACACTATTGTCTGCGATTTATTGGCATCAGCCGCGCTGACCGGCGGACCAATGAAATTTTGTCCGTCCCAATGCGGCTGAAGACAGAAAGTGTTCCCCAAGGCCACTTGTGTGTGCGTGTGTCGTGATCACGAGCATCGAGAGCGCTTACCGGCTAACCAACGAACAGAAGCCAGTCTCATTGCGGTTAAAATGCTTGCGGAGGCCGTAATAATCTGGTCCGTGTGCGCGTGTCTTTATCACAAGCATCGAGAGCGCAAAGACCAATAAACAGGCGTGAGTCAGTCTCAGCGTGTGCGCGCGCTTTCTTGCCTCCACTTGCCCTCCTTCGTAGCCCGTGTTGCTGTGTGTGGCGCGCCGGTTGCGAACAAGCACGCAGCGATCGAATTCCCCTGCGGTACTTGAAGTATGGTCGTGCCTGCCGAGTGTGAAACGCTTGGTTGGCCGGGATGCCCCAATCAAACCATGGCATATCTGGTTCGGCAAGGATGATGATGACACTACCAGCTTCTGGGTCATCCTTGTGAAGCGTAGCCTGGGCCGGCGCAAACCCGGTACAGTGTAGCGCTCCGTCCCGGCATTGTAGGGGTGTGAGGTCAAGGGTCTATCGACTACGGCATTATTTGTTTACATGAGTACACCCCCCCCCCTCCCTCGCCCCCTCAGGTGATCGTGATGAACGGCCAGTGGAAGAGCAACATTCGTCGTTATCCACTGAAGCTCATTAGACCACTTCCGTTTTACGAGAACCTAGCCCGCCGCCTTATCGACCAGCAGCAGGTGAGCCTGTAGCCAGATTCTGGGTGCGCGCCGCTCGTATTGGTGATCATGCACTTCTTGTGTTGTTGGTGGGGGGCGAGGCGTGAAGGACCGA